ACCTGATGCACTTATATGATTCTGTTTTCTTCAAGTTTGTTTCTTGTTGGTCGAATGTACTTATTGTAAGTCGCTTTGGATAAAAGCGTCAGCTAAATGTAATGTAATGTAATGTAATTTAACCGCAATTTGCACTTCACTTGGGGTCCCACCTATTGGCCTTGGGGTTCCATATCTTGACATCGACCCTAATGTGGGTGGAAGTTACATTTATGAGTATGTAAAGCACTATTAGGGAAATACAGTTCTTGATGAATATATTTATCTTAATTATTTTCTAAATTAATTTTTTAATATTCCTCTAAATAACTATTAAAGCCACTGAAATGTGACTCAGTGATGTTGAGTGTTTCATAACACTCAGTTCAGGACGGTAATGAGCATCTCCGTCACATGTGAGAGGTTGGGCAGTTAGCTGTGCCTGTTTCACTTTACAGATGTTGTTAAAATAATTTCAAGACGACTTGGCTAAATATTCATATTCCTAATTATCCATAACCCTCTGTGTGTGCTCAGTCTGGATGCCTGACCGACTCATATCCCTAAGAAATAAAATCCTTAACCTACATTGTTAATTACTACATTTTAACTTCTGAGAAGCCATTAAAAGCATTATTGTTTGCCAAGTCAAATAAACTCTGGTATTCATTCCCGAGACCATAAAACTGGGAGCCATAAATAAACATATTCAGCTTTTCTTTATTAGAACTTGACATAAAAGCCAGAGGGGAGAAAGAGATTTATTAAAAGAGGATTTGTCATGCTCACAGGACTTGTGGAAAGATTACGAAAGAGTTACTGCTAGGTTGATGTTGTTTTTTTCAATTTGGCTTTTGTGCGTGTCTGCATGACTTTAACAGGCTGTCTGATGCCTACTGAGGGTGATAAGATGTTTGTCGGAACAGCAGTGGGAATAAACTTGCTCTTTACAGCTGTCACTGACATTATATTCACAGGCCTGGTGTTAAGCTGCAGACCCAAGTGAACCGCACAGTGTTGATTAAACACTTATTTGTACAAATTCTCCCCTTTTTCTCCAAGGGCACTCTGTAACCCTCTGCAATCTCCTGATTTGTCTCACCTGATGTTTTGTGCGAAGCACCCATGCTCCTGTGACATATCAGTTAATGCTTTACGAGAGCACATGATATGCACATTGACCCCAACAAACATGACTTCAACCTTTGAGACACTTTAGTTAAGGCTTAAATTAATAGTTTGACATAGTGGGAGATCTGGTTATTCATTTTTGGCCAAGAGTTAGATGAAAGTTTGATTTCCCTCTCATATCTGAACGATAAGTACACTGAACAAAAATATAAACGCAACACTTTTGTTTTTGCTCCCATTTTTCACGAGATGAACTCAAAGATCTAAAACATTTTCTATATACACAAAATAACCATTTCCCTCAAATATTGTTCACAAATCTGAAAAAATCTGTGATAGTGAGCACTTCTCCTTTGCCGAGATAATCCATCCCACCTCACAGGTGTGGCATATCAAGATGCTGATTAGACAGCATGATTATTGCACAGAGTGCCTTAGGCTGGCCACAATAAAAGGCCACTGTGAAACGTGCATTTTTGCTTTATTGGGGGGGTCTGGGGGGGTCCGAAAACCAGTCAGTATCTGGTGTGAGGGTTAGGGTTAGGGTTAGGGTTCGGGTAATGTTGTGAATCGAGTGGCCTGTGTTCGTCGTCCATAACATACGCCTGCCCATACCATAACCCCACCACCACCATGGGCCACTCGATTCACACCACCTCGTGAAATTCCTGCCCTGGTGCTGTATATATGAAGACTTGAAACTAGTGATTGAGACCATAACCATCAAGGAAATGGTAACTGAGGTAAAAAATAAGTGAGAATAAAGGTAATTTTCTCATATAGGAGGCGTGTGGCGCAGTGAGTTGTGGGTTGGTGTTCGGATCAGGGGGTCACAGGTTCAAACCCCACTGTAGTCAGTATGTCGTTGTGTCCCTGGGCAAGACACTTCACCCCAAATTGCTCCTGTGGGGATTGTCCACAGTATTGAAGTCGCTTTGGATAAAAGCGTCTAACAAGTAACATGTAATGTAATATACTTCTATAGAATTGGACCTCTTATTCATACCAGCCTAGTCACCTTAGGCTGGCCATTAGAAAGAATGTCAATGTGTACATCGAGCAACTGCTAGCTAAAAGCCAACTAATTAACATTTTGTACCAAGGCTGCCCGATATGACCAAAATATGCGATAAGGTTGTTTATAATAAGATAACGATATTTATTAGACATATTGCACATTGAACTAAATCCAAAGTGCAAAGATAAAAGGTGTAAATTGGTTTCCAAAGTCCTGTTTATTCCTTTTTAAACTATTACAAAAAATGTGAGTGCAATAGCGCAATGTGTTTATCGCGATGGTTGAGGTTTATCGCGTCAGGGTTAAAAGAAACTGTGTAGTTTAGCCATATGTCACATATTTGTTCCCTCTTGGTTGAAGTGTAGCATTTACTTCCATATCTTATCATTATCATTAGATTACCAGGCAACCAGCCAAGTCAATACTCCCGGTCAAGAAATACCCTTACATGACTGTCTGTAAACCAACAAAATACATGTTGTTGTTACATTGAATGTTTTCCATTATTATCCATCCATTATCTGTCACCACTTATTATTTAAAGGGTTGCCATTCACTCACAGAACATGAGCAAAATAAGAAGATGTAATGTCCAATATTATGAGATTGAGATGTGTTAAGATGTGTTGGTTATTTGTGGTGAGAGTCTGTTAAAATATTAATAATACTCAAAAGACAGCATTTATGTTGCACTTTTGTCTCTTTTTTTTGTAATACAATACACACACACACACACACACACACACACACACACACACACACACACACACACACACACACACACACACACACACACACACACACACACACACACACACACACACACACACACACACACACACACACACACACACACACATCAATGTCAGTAAGCCACCATGCAAAGCACCGACCTGACATCTGGAGCAGTTGAGGTTAAGTGTCTTGTTGAGGACACTTCAGAATGTGGACACGGTAATTAGGGAATAACCTTCTGAGCCACAGCCTTCCTGTCCTGTTACCTTTGGACAGAGCCAGGCTAGCAGTGGTTTAGTCTTTAATGCTAAGCTAACCTGCTACTGGCTGTAGCTTCATATTTACAGTACAGATTTAAGAGTGTATTGATCTCCTAGTCTAACAATGGGCAAAAAAGCTTAGTTGAAAAACTGGACTACTCATTTAAATATAAGCTTTACGGAATGAAAGACAGATTTAGGACTGCTTGACATTGGTGACAGCTGCTAGAACACACTGTAGCGTCTTTGACAGCTCCTGCCGGGTTACAATAGAAGTCATTAAAAGCAGTTTTGAGAATAGCTTGTTAAGTGCAGTTTATGGCTAATAATTTCAAAGCTCTCTAAGTGGTTAGAAATGTACATTTTCCTTGTATATTATTCCCTCATTTTGTAATCGTGTTTTTCAGTGACTCTATCCAGTAGTTAATTTACCTAGCACATGTATAATTTATTATCCACTAATTATACAAGCGACATACTGCACAGTGCTTGGCTGCACATTAGTCTTCTTTCCATTCCAACATTCTCCTTGAAACACACTGTACGAAACGGACACACTGCCAAGAAATTAGATTTTGGCAATGGCTCTATGCTTGTATATTAATAGAAAAGTCAGCGTCCAATATGAAATGAATCCCTGAAGTTGTTGATACCTCACTCAGATTTAATATGTGTGTGCAGACAGCCCGTTGTTGTGACATTAGAGTTTAACAGTAGCCTTCCTGCCAGGGTAATTTATGTCTCATCCCCGGCTTTAATGCACTGTTAGTCACAAAGCTGTCAGTGTAACATTCCCTGTGTGTATTCTGGACCAGTACTCTGCACAGTGAGCGCAGTAAATCATCAGGATATGTGGAAGTTTCCTTTTTAAGCCTAGTGCAACAAAACATGCATGTAGAGAGGTGCACATTAATTAATCGCATCAATTCCTGACATCCTGGTGTCGTTGCACAATGCCGTTATCAGAGGGTTGCTACTGAAACATGCCCGATGTTAGGGACAATGAAGAGGCCGACAGACAGATAGATAATCAAGCGGGCAGATAACTGTGTCTCAGGGAAGCGGAATTACGGCCATAATTAAGGCTGAATGGGGGTTTGATTGCACATAGCCCTTTCGGCCACTTTGCTCGAGTGTGCCATTACCAGTTAGCATTAGAACATTAATATTCATCTCAATCATTTTGGCCCTAAGGAACAGCAGAAGCCAGGGAAATTGTTTACTCTGATGGTGTATTTGGTGCAGAGGGATTGTAGCCCCTCGCTGAATAATGTGAGGGTCCTTGAACTTGTGGTTTATATCTTCCTTAAGGCAAAGAACCCTGACCCCTGCTTTGAATTGAACAAAGTGTTGACAGACAAAAAGGCTCCTGCTTTAGCATGACATGCACAGATCCAGAAATATTGAGGTAATTTCCTTAATTACTTGGGTGTTTCTTCTCTTGAAAAGGGCATTTTGTAAAGGGTGACATAGTTTAACCTTCATTATAATCATCATTTGCTAAATGGCAACATGGGCCGGTTGGAAAACGGAAATTTTTCATTTTCTTTGAAGGTAACAGAAACAAAAATGGAACCTCATAAATGTTCGTTTTCCTGACCTGCAATCATCTATGTTAAAGCATGAATCAAAGTCAAGATTCTTTATGGCTTTCCTTTAAGCAGAAAGGGGGTCCGTGGACAAAACATATAAAAAACTTAAAAAATGATACTTCTAGGTATTAGCCATAGGAATCTGCTGCATTTTGATGTAAGATTTAAAGTGTGACATGAGTGCTATAAGCTATAATTTCAACACTAAATTGGGTCAATTGTGATTAGGGTTTGCACTGGGAATGTTTAATTTTGCTGTGGTATTTTATTCATTAAAAATTGGCAGTTATTTTATCATATCTTTAGTTTTTTTAACTCGTGTTTGTTGGCAAATATGCACAACATTCATGGAATCAATAATCAACTAATTTTAGAAGTTGGTTTTATCCATGCACATTGATGTACTTATAGCTGAGATTGTATAACCTTCTATTTGCTACTGGAGACTTGGTGAAAATATTACACCATTTATTGGCTATTAATATATGATTTGTAGACAAACTATGTACCTAATACATGACCATATCTCTGTCATAATGTTTATTGAATTCACGCAAGTAATGCAACACTCAGTAAGTCAACACCCCGTATTTGTATCTCCAATCCAGTGTTTATACGTTTTTGCTTTGTGATTACAATCAGAAACATATGGCTGTAGTCAATGACATCCCAGACCCCAAAAAAAAAAACAGGTGTGAATACATACCTTTTTCTTTGATGCCTCTGACTTTTTGGACATATTTCTCAGTTTTTTGTGCAAGTGATTTAAAACCTGCAAGCAAGAAAATAGAGGTGAACTGTATGTCTTTAAAATAAAGTCTAGAATTATTAAACGACCGGTTTGGAAAGCTTTTCCTTACCTTTGCATAACAGAAGGAAATCAGCAGCAGAGGCAACACATAACCAAAAATAAACGTGCACACCACATAGACTTTCTTCAGAGTTTGATTTGGCCACCCTTCCCAGCAGTAGGTTTGATTATCTCCCATGCGGAAAATGTTCTGGTAGTACATGACGGGCGCAGCCATGACCAGGGAGAGTATCCAAATCACCATCACCCCGATCAGCGCGTGCCTCGCCACACGGATAGAGGAGGACTTCCTGGAGTGCACAATGGCAATGTATCGGTCCACGGACATGGCAGACAGGGTGAAGATGCTCACCAGCATGGACACGGTGAAAACATAGTGGCTGAATTTGCAAATGAATGCGCCCAGGACCCAGGTCTGCATCATGTAGACGACGGACTGGAAAGGGATGCAGAAGAGCAGATAGGACAGGTCTGCGATGCTCAGGTTGAGGATGAAGATGTTGGTGGTGCTCCGTGGCTTCCCCGGTTTGCTCCGGGCCAGCACGGTGATCACCATGGAGTTGCCCAGCACACCGAGCATAAAGATGAGTCCAAACACCAGCAGCGTTATGAAATTATCCGCGCCGATGCCGAAAAGTTTCTCCCCTTCTTCATCCGCTCTGCTGCGGTTCCACTGCTCCTCCAAGAGCCACACAGACTCCGAGTCGTTCATGATGTATTCTTCCTCCTATATATTAACTTGAAAATGATCTCAATGAGGTCTGTGCAGAGGTTTTAGGGGAAAAGGTTTGTTGTCCGGTGCGTCTCCATGCGCGCTCCTCAACACACATGTCTTTCTTGCATCTTACTCAAGATTTCGCTATATCCCTTTACTTTTTCTTACGCCTCACATTAGTAACACCTCCAAACAACAGTACTTTCTTCGCTGTAAAGCATGCATTGTCTCGCTGCTGCGCGTCTTGGAGTCTCTCCTGGTGCGCACCTGATGCGTCTGCGCACCGTCCGCGCTGATCCGCTCTGAAGCCTTGCCTCTTTGAGTGTGGACTTTTCCCCTCCACATTATAGCAAGGGGCCGGGCTGAGGTGATCACGTCAGCACCCAGTACACCACCCTCCCAAGGAATAGGGAAAAGTTTGGATTCGTGTGCAACTGCAATTGGCAACATTGCGTACCAACAACAATCTAGTTTGGCTGTCTTGCTATTGTTGCCTTATTTGAGTTTCATGCTTGTTTTATCCCAAAGCAGAAGTAAGCTTTAAAAAAAAAAAGTATAACTTCTGTTGTGTGTGTAGTTGTGAAATAAGTATTCTAACACAGTGTAGAAAAAAAGTCCTACATTTTATATACTTTATTTCTCAAGTAAAAGTTATTAGGTATTAACATCCAAATATATTCGAATGGCCTCTATTATGGGTGTCCCCTTCCTGTAGTGCTCTATAGGTTTTGGTGCATTTAAATGCATGGTCTTCAAAGGCTAAAATCCCAAAGTTCCCTCCGGAAGGAGTTTCTCCCCCCCACTGCCCCTCCCCCCCCCTGCCTGAATCGCCTCCATTGGACTCACTATGTAACACTTGCGCTTCCATTGGCTAGTGTTCCAACACATTGTACGTGATAGGCTATGGTTATTTGTTGATCAGAGCAGACTGGGCTTCCATTTCAGACCAAGACCGTTTATTTTAATATTATTATATGCTACCGAATAGCATAACCTATAATAATATATTCAAATGTTCTTATTTAAATGTGATAATAATAAAACCTAGTAAGTATTAAATGCTTTCAAATAAATGTAGTGGAGTAAAATGCACAATAATTGCCTTTTAAATGTTATGTTTAAAGTAGCATTCTCGAGTCCAACAAAATTGTACTCAAGCAATGTACTTATTTACTTTCCATCACTCCAAGCTGTCAATAGTAGCAGTGTAATAATGTGGAAAATACATTTTAATTTCATACAACTTAAACACTTGTAAACAGTGCTGGAGTCTGCTTTGTTTCTAGAGATAAAGCCATGAGAGTTGTGTGCACTCTCATGCTCACTTTGTGAACAGGTCTAATTTCCATAGCCCATCCATTACTATTTGCTCTCATCAAAAACCAAGACTTGCAAATAGGTTTAGAGACTATGAAAAAGCACTGTATTATTTCTGATTTAATTTATCTTTGGCTCCATCTTGGGGTTCATTTCTGTGTTGTTTGATTGCCAAGTACAGTGTTTCCCCTAGGATGGAGTCATAGCAGCGGTGCTAAGGCACGTGGGCCCAGCATAATGTGAGCGCGGAGCGCGTGGAATCTTTTAGTGTGTGCGCGTGCAAAGTGCGCCCCGCCAATTTGTTTCTATGTGTCAGCACAAGAAAGGCTCTTGAGGCCTAGTACCAGGGCCGGTTCTAGACAATTTGCTGCCCTAGGTGAGATTTTAGGCAACATTTTATATGTAAAGAATAAATGAAAAATCTCTACAAATTACCTCACAAATACACTACAAAAATACACTACAAAAACAGAAACTTATTGACATAGGTAATAGACGTCAAAATGGCTTCAAATGTATTCAGTATTGTATGAACATGTTTGAATTTGGAGGTGGACGTCACATCCTCTAGGGGGGTCCGGGGGTATGTCCCCCCGGGAACATTTTTTTTTGAACATTTTACAGTAAAATGCTTCAATCTGGTGCACTTTGAGCACACAATTACTAGAGACTGATCTAGGGGGTACAACTCTAAAACGCCCAGATGAAAAAGATCGGTTTACATTTTAATAATCAAATAAGTATATGAACATAACCAATAACCTACCATAGCCAATAACAAATGTTAACTATTTCAAATAAGATATGAATGAACAACAAAAATAAAATAAGCTACATTTATTTGTTATTGGCTATGGTAGGTTATTGGTTATGTTCATATACTTATTTGATTATTAAAATGTAAACCGATCTTTTTCATCTGGGCGTTTTAGAGTTGTACCCCNGGATGTGACATCCACCTCCCAATTCAAACATGTTCATACAATACTGAATACATTTGAAGGCATTTTGACGTCTATTACCTATGTCAATAAGTTTCTGTTTTTGTAATGTATTTGTATTTTGTAGAGATTTTTCATTGATTCTTTATATA